GATCACTTTTACTTGATAGCTTTTAGTTTCGCATTCCCCCCAATATCAGCAGATCATTAGAAGAGTTTTACATCTAACTAACTCTCTTGGTTGAGAAGCAAAATGATAACATTCGATTCTGGATAGACATCAAAAACCTTTAGTAGTAACTGAACTAGGATGAAAAGGAAGTTGATATATTTTATCAAGGACACTCATAAATGGATTCACATCCAATGTAAAAACAACATATTTATGGGCTCTGAATTGACATTTGATAGATGATATTGGTCCATGTAATGTGCACTAACAAATAAGATAGCAGATAATAGGTAACCAAACTGAGTTTACTTTGTTGCATCCTGAACGTTATTAAGCTTAAGCAACCTTTCCGTGAGACTGAGGAGTCATCTCTAAGAAGTTCTTGGTAGATTTATAGAACCTACTTTCCTCTTCATTCTTCCTCCTTTTGTCTTTCTTCACTGCAACAATTCATATATTTTGTAAAAAAATTGGTAACGTCATATTCCTCAGCATTAAGGACATGCTGGCAACCTTAAGAGAGAATTACAAACTAGGAGAAAATATTACAAGGAACCTAAAAGATCTACTATCTGTTCAACTTCATCTATACATTCCTCTTTACACCAAAATAAAAGGGATATAATACAATTCTATTTAACTTTATGAATGGAACTAAACCTATCGCAGAACATCTCTAATTCCTCTCTCTCCACAGTGTCCACCATATGCATGCTGGGATTACTTTCCACTATTTCTTTTGGCTCTTGCTCCCACCCCTCCTAATCCAACAACTCAATAAATCAGCAATATGTTCTGGCATAGACCAGTTTGTGTCTGCAGGACTTAGAAATAGTGACCGATCTGTAAAGTTAATTTGCAATGCAAAAACAGGTGGTTGTTAAAAGCTACCTGAAATATGATTCCAGTTGTCCCGTTCTACTTTGGCCTGAATGGCCGACTGTATTCAATCCCAACCATGACACGTCCTATCATAGAAAGTTGTAGAAAGTTTTATCCAGGATGATATGAACAACCCGTGATGGAAAACATATATTGGAGTTTATGCAGTCTTCAGTTCCTTTTATCTTCTCGACTGTTTTGTTTTTACTTTTAATCATTCACTTATGTTAAATGTTGTTTTGTGGTTTTTAAACACTATAGGGGACAATAGGCAAGGGCGCTTTCTTAAGGTTAATCTACTTTCCTGACCTTGACGCTTTGCTTCTGCTTTGTTTTGCTGCTAATCGAAAATATATTTACACCCTTAGTTTCCTCGCACATTGTGATCCATTTTACTTGATAGCTTTTAGACGGTCTTATATGACCGCTTTGCTTTTGCTCTGTTTTGATGCTAATCGAAAATATATTTACACCCTTAGTTTCTCGCACATTGCGATCACTTTTACTTGATAGCTTTTAGAAGGTCTTATATGAAAGTAGGTTGACGGGTTGTTTTCTTACTGCTACCATAGTATTTTACTATTAAACTTGGCTCTTGTCTTTCTCTTCTTGTCCGTTTTTTGCCTGTATCTCTCCTCTCTCTCCCTTTCATATATCCCTGGCCAATATATCTCTCCCGTTAATGGCCACAGCCATGTTTCATATGGATGGTAATTGTCATCAGCAGCTTCTGCCAAGTCTTCATTCATACTCTTCAACAATGTCATGTTGAAGTACTTTGCCTACATATATCCTTTTCGATGCTCAACTGAGTGCTGCTCTTCTCCCGCACCTGAGTAAAGTTTAATGTAAACCATCTGCCGGGCACTGTCATATGCCCATACATTTACCAACAGTTCCAAAACCTGACAGTAACAATGCTGCTTCTGGTGGTCACAAACAATAAAAACATAAGAACTTATCCTTCTAGCCTGCATTACTTTGAAGTTTAGTGATAGCGTACGCTATTGCAGGTAACAATTTTTAAGTGTCATATACTTGAGAAACAGAAACAGAAACAGCTGCATGAATACTCAATTAAACTATTGGCTGCACTTGTCAATTGTTTCTTAGAGGCTCATCCAAAGGTGTAGCATAGTGATCAATGAAGTGAGATAAAGTCAAGGGACACCAAAATTCCTAACAGAGTCAGAAAGAGCAAGTCATTATATACATGGCATGTTCTCTTCGAGTCTAGAAAAAATCCTAATTCAAGAAGAAAATGATCAGATTATTTTAGCACAACAATTCTATACCTTACATTAGGAAAGTTTTACACTGATTCCAGCTGCTGAAGTAATTGGAAAAAATCCTATACCTACATATACCAATCATTTAGCTTCCTCGGAAATTTATTTGCCAGCCTGAGTTTGAGTGAAAATCAGCAACAAAGACACCTTTATTAACAGAACAATTAAACAATATAGGGAATTTAGCCTTCAGACATTTTTATCTAACCCATAAATCTGTCCAGAAAATAGAAACATACAGAATTCCAAAAAGATATTATTTTAACACAACAAATCTATACCTTACATTAAGAAATACATTATCTCCAAATGTCTAATTAAATAAACTACTATTAGCTATACTGCTGTTGATATATGCTGTAGTAGAAAATATAACATTTGCGTCCAGTTAAGCTGTTACAAAATAAAGCTATTGCCATAACATGTCAACAGATTGTCCGCCAAGGACTTTTTCGTTTTGAAGGCGAAACGTTTGCAATACTTCCGTTACAATAATTTGTTACATTTTTGTTGATTTACTTCTCTTTGAAATTATGTTTACTATCTCTTCATGTTCTACTACTTTTAACAGGTTTCTTGCTTTCGGCAACACCAAAATTGGTAACATTTCTCCACCTTGGATTAACTTTCTTCAATTAATGTGATATTTATACTATTGTTAGTTGAAGTTGCTCGCTTTTAAAATTAAAAAGAAGAATTAGTTTATGCTTGGTGAATATTGTATTCTTGAGCATCTTTATTGTTAGACCAAAAGAACACTAATTATATAAAAACAAAATAGCATTTATGTCACAAATATATATTGTATTAGTACATCCTAGCTACTATAACAATACAATGACAAGTCTGGAAGAGCTCGAGAACCAGTGACTACCAATTAGCAAGTTGAAGAAATATGCAACAAAATGGGTGATTAAAGTCTTAGTCATTCGACGGAGTTTAACAAAAGAGTATAAAAATGCAAACGGTGAGGGTATTCGTTAGCAACTGATATTAGTCGACGAAGAGGTAACCCTATTTTAATATTTAATTATATTCATTACTTAATATGTTGACTTCTTTTGCGATTCTAATGATTATGGTCCTTACCACAGGGTACAAAAATACAAACGACTATTTTCAACAAAGATTTTCATGCATGGAACAAGTCTTTTCAACTTAATCAAAGTTACATTATAAATGGAAAATTAAATGAACCAAACTTCTTATCTGTGCATAAGGACCTTGAACTAGCATTTATGAACAATATAGAGGTCGTTGAGGACAAAAGCCAATTTAAGACTGAACAATTTTCGAATGGATTTATTTCATTTGATGAAGCTGAAAAAATCACTAATGAGAGTTTGTTTGGTAAATTTCACTAAATGTTTGTTGTCTGTTCCATACATAAAGAAAATATGTATTTTGTAACACATTGTTTTGTTTAGATGTGGTGTGTATTTTACTCACAGTAAAAGCACTAACTGGAGAAGGACGAAGCATTAGATGCGAAGTAATCATTACAAACAAAAGGTAACATATACTTTCTATGCATCCTACATATAAATATTTCACGTTAATAAGCATTTATCATAAAAATATTCTTTGTTACATATATAGGTATGATCGAAAAGTCATGACTTTATGGGGAGATTTCGCTGAAATCGAAGGTCAAATGTTACAGAGCCTTGAAAGTGACAAACCAGTGCTTGCCTTTGGTGATGTAAAATCATCCATTTACCAAGGTATAAATCTCCTCAGTTGATATATTTGAGTCAAGTTTCAAACTACATAAAAGTATCACTGAATTAATTACTCCTGCCAAAATAGGGGATTTTGTCCTTTCCACGACTCCTGTTA